AGGTAAAAGCAGAACACAAATGCAGAAGCCGCGCAGAAAGAAAGGAGCAGCAGAAAGAGCACCGGAAGCAGGGAGGTCGGTTGCCTTCCGTCCCCAGGAGGACGCTGCTCACCTCTATCTCGCGGATGTTGTTGGAGGTGACGAAGATGCCGATGCCGATGGGGATGAAGATGAGGCCGACGATGAAGAACGTAGGCAGCACGGTGCCCGCCGTGAGGATGGGCTGCCAGGCGGGCAGCCGCTGCTGCTTGAAGGCCGTGTTGTCCGGCCTCCGCGTCTTCGCGGCGCCCCCCCAGCCCACACAGGGGCCCTCCGTCCACCTGTCCTTGGCGTTGCAGTTCATCGCCATCGACCCGGGGAGCCGCTCTACCAGCACAGGGATCCCGCCCAGGAAACCAGCCCAGACCCTGAGGAGACTCAGGCAGGGGCCTCCCCAACTGGCGAGGCGGAAGGGGCGGGACCTATGTGACATCATTTTTAGGACTACATCATAATCATGTTATATGATGTGCTGTAAATTCTTTCCATCTTGAACCAGTGGAAATTATCATCTTCGGGTCAAAGACAATTTCTTTTGTCTGTCTTGGAAAAGTGTGCTGTGTTTCCATGTCCAAATCTGGAGATGCTTGAGACCATTAACACCAGAGAGTTTTTTTTTTTTTCTTTTTATTGAGGTTAATGGTACAATATAGGTATACAATACAATTACATTCATCATTGGGATTCTGTACCTTTACATAATAGGTCTTGATTCTCATTTTTCCCCCTTGTTCCTGCCCTCCCTTCACCCCCTCCTCCCCTCCCCATTTACAAACACTTTATTTCCATTTTTTCAGTTTCTCATACTTTTTTCCTCTCCCTTATTACCTTTCCCCCACCCTTCCCACTTTCCCTACACCTTTAGCCCTTTACTTCCTATTTCACATTATTAATTATTTCATTAGGATCCTGTGTACTATTGTAGTTTTTCACACCAAAGAAACTATTCGGTATTTCAGTTAAAGAAATCTCTGTACAAACATTAAAAATAGGGAATCCTAAAATAAAACTAAAAAGGAAAGTAAAAGAGAAAAGGCAATGATGTAACATCAAAATAATCCTTAATTCTGAAGATGAAAATGGTCCCTGAACATATTTAAATTGCTTCTCGCTCTTATAGTCTTATCTTATTCTTTTTTCACTATTTAGAGAATACTTTATTAGTTTCTGTAACCAAACCCACATAGATATGACCTTACATATTTAGTACGATGTGTTACCCCTGTACACATGGAAAAAAATAAAAATAAAAATAAATGAGTTTTGTCTGAACAAGAAGTTAGTATTCTTTTAACAAATACATAAAACTGTGTCTACTTTCAGATGATACTGAGTTCCTCAACATTTCAAGGAGCTCTCGGCTCTGTAAGCTTAGGAAGTCTCTTATGAAGCTATCCTCCTTTTCCACGATACTGCCCTTGCTACCCCTGTGCTTATTTTCTGCCTTTCTCAGTGAATGAGTGGCTGAATGTTGCACTGGCTTCAGGTTCTGAACATTCACATGACTGCCTTAATTAGAAAAGAAGAAAGTGGCATAATTTTGCCGTAAGCTAACGATAATGCTTCAGTGGGAGGCCAGGAGGCATTTTCTTATTCACACACTCATGGCTTCTTGAATAAAGTGGATGACTGAGTATACTTACTGCAGTAAGAGAGATTATTAGTGCAAGACACATTTGAACTTGCTGAAAGGGCCGCCTTTGTGTGGAGGAAGACTGACACTCGGTCATTATTAGACCAGGTCTTCGTCTTATCCCAGCAGTCTTTGCTTTTTCACGCTTGTGAAGTCTGAATAGCTTTCTGTCACCTGTTAATCCCTGTAGGAATGTGGCTTCGGCTATGGGGAGGATGCACAGTGTGTAACATGCCGGCCGCATCGGTTCAAGGAGGACTGGGGCTTCCAGAAGTGCAAGCCGTGCCTGGACTGTGCACTACTGAACCGCTTCCAGAAGGCCAACTGCTCCATCACCAGTGACGCCGTCTGCGGGGACTGCTTGCCGGGGTGAGTTGGTGATTCCTTCCTCTCCTGTTTTCGGAGACATTGATCTTGTTCCCTTCCAAACTTGAACGTGCACTGTTACTAACTCATAGACTTGCAGAGCACTTGTGACTTCTCATCTCAGCAGACAACCTGCTGGATTCTCTGTGCCCACCCTATGCCATGCACTGTAATGGGGGCTGGTTATACATCCCCTGAAATCAAATGATGAAGATTCTAACAAAGGAGCAGCTCCAGGAGAATCAAAATCTCTGCAAACCAATGGGGCAAAAACTTCAGGTAGAGGGAGAAAGGAACAGACATGCAGCTGATGAAAGAGGAGACAAGCTGACCCATGAAGATGTCAGTCCTCATTAGCAGTCTCCACCACTCACCCATTTCAGCAGATATAAAGCCAAGCAGCTATAAAGCACTGCTCTAGATTCTTGGGAAAGCTCACAGGATAAAGTGGCAGAGATCCCATGTGGAGCTCATATCCTAATAGGCTTTTAAAAGTAACTTACTAATAAATAATGAAGAAGTAAAATGTACAGAAAGATAGATGAAAATTGCTATGGAAAAACACACCTGAAAGCAGGTACTGGTGACTGGGCATGCCCACAGTTACAATGTTAAATTGGAGTTCAGCTACTACAATTGATCTTAGCCAAAAGGCCGAAAAGCAATTAAATCAGAGCTCAGGACAGGCTGGATTGCAAATGTGAGAGCTAAACAAAGACAGCAAGTAGTTGAGGCATTAGGCAAGCAGTTATTTGGGAGAAAAACAGAGCAGATGGTGAGCAGCTAGGGAGAGGCCCCGCCATGAAATGGGTATGTTTAGGAACCTGCAGGGAGAGCTGGGCACGATGATGAACACCTATAATCCCTACTACAGGAGAGGCTGAGGTAGGAGGATCACCAGTTTGAGCCCAATTTGGGCAGCTTAGTGTTATCTTGTCTCAAAATAAAATCGTCAAAAGGGAGAGAGGTTTGCTCATAGATAGAGCTCTTGTCTAGCATGTGGAAGGCCTAGGTTTCATTCCTAGTACCACCAAAAAAAATCAAAGAACCTGCAAGGAAGCTAGGGGAGAGGAAGGAGGAGGTGAGAACAGGGAAGGCAGACAGAGAAACATGTGCAAAGGGTAAAAGGTACAGATAGACCCATCATTTGTCACATATTCTAGGCAGGATCGTCCCTTTTCACAGATACGATTTGCCAATATTTTCTCCTGTTTTTTTCTGGGTGGGGGGTTGAGATAGTGTCTTACTATGCAGTTCAGGCTGACCGTGAACTCGCTGTGTAGCAGTCCTCCTACCTCAGCATCACCGTGCCCTGCTTCACGTAGGAAAACCAGCCTTACAAAAGTAAGAAACAACCATACACAACAGTATTACAGAAGCAGCAGATATTCATTATTTATGATGAGCCAGGCTAAGTACTGAACATGAAATATTATTTTCTATAATTTCTCAGTTGCAAAAATGAAGAAACTGAGCCTTTTTGAGGTTTATGGTTATTTTAGGCAAGACTGCCCAGCTTGCATTGATGGAGCTTGGAGTCACACACAAAGAATCTAACTCCAAGATGATCTGAGGCACTGCAGACCAAAGATGCCTAGATGCCACACCTAGGGTGTTGACCAGATATCCCAGTGGGATTCCTGCTGAGAGTGGAGAGGGAGAGAAAGTTTTGGACTTGATGAGTGGAAATAAGAAATAGTCTAGTGAATTGAATATGGCCTTCTGCAGGGACACAACACCTAAGGTACTGCAAAAAGGAGGCATCTAACATTAAAAAAATATGCAGCAAGGGGAAAGAATAGCTATATAGAACACTATCAAAATTCAAACACTTGCAGGGCCAGGGATTTAGCACAGTGGCACCGCACCTGCTTTGCAAGGGAAAGGTTCTGAGTTCAGGTATTGGGGGAAAAAAAAATTCAAATTTGCACTTCAGAGGACACCATCAAGGAAGTAAAAAGATAACACAGAGAAAGGAAGAAAATATTGGCAAATCATATATCTGATAAAGGACTATCTTGCTTAGAATATATGAAAACCCCTTATCAGTCAATAATAAAAAGATAAATAATACAATTAAAATAAGAAGTAAGGGTCTAAATAGACATTCCTCCAAAAAATATGAACTGGCCAGAAACACATAGGCAAAGATGTTCAACATCATTACCCGTTAAAGAAATGTAAATCAAAACCAAAGTGAGATACCACCTCACACCCTTTAGATCTGTAGCCAGAAAGACAGCAATGTGTTGGTGAGAATGTGGAAAATGCAAATCTTTGTACACTGTTGGTGAGAATACCCTATAAAATGGCATGGCCACATTGGAAAATATTATAACATCTTCTCAAAAAGCTAAGTGTATAGTTACCGTGTGGCCCAGCAGTTCTCCTGGATATACTATCAATCGAACTGGAAGTCGATCTCCATGCCAGAGCTTGTATAAACTAATGTTCATGGTAACATCACACACATGGCCAAAAAGCTGAAATAACTCTACTGTGGTTGGAATGTGACCACTCCAAAATTCAACCATTATCAATGTAATGGTTAAAGGTAAGGACTTCAAGAAGTCTTTAGAATTGGGCGAGGTGGCTCATGCCTGTAATCCCAACACTCGAGGCTGAGGCAGGAGGACTGAAAGATCAAGCCCATCCTGGGCAACTTAGTGAGACCCTGTGACAACATTAAAAAAATAATAATAAAGGGCTAGGGATGTAGCTCAGTGTTGGCCTAGGGTTCAATCCCTGGTACTACCAAAAAAAAAAAAA